ATGGCAACAGGCAGCTAATTAATAGAAGATCCTCAACACCATGGAAACAGCTGAAGCAAGCCAAACAAGCAAGCGGGCGAGGTGCATGGCTCTGGGGATCAGGGAGGGCTGTCTTGCCCTGCGCCCTCGGGTCCGATCCGGAGCAGAGGGGCAGCACCTGGGCTCTCGCGGCTGCTGGCTGCCATGGAACTGGAGAGGGGAGGCGGATCCCCCATGGGTGCTTAGCAGAGAAGTCCTCTCCATCTTCCTTGGACCTCTTGAGAGTGTTGTAACAAAACTCCTTCCTGGCTTTTGGCCCCGTACTTTACCTGGGGAAGGTTTAAGGGAGCTTTTGATGCATCAGGCACTGTGCCTCATAGTTGCATGTGAGGGTTTGTTCCCAACGTGTTTAAGAACAGGTTAGACATGTGTTTGGCTGGAATAATTTAGACTGAGCAGGGGGTGGGGGGGACTAGACGTGACCTCCGTGGGCCCCTGCCAGCTGATTCCTTCATGATTCTGAGTGTTGGCCCCTGGAGGATGAGGCCAGAGACCACGTGGATTGTGCAGGGTCAGCTGCCCCTTGGGCAGTCTGGCCAAGTTGGCTTCCACTGGCGTAAATGACTCCATGCAGTGCGGGATGCCTTGGGATCCAGGCTTGTGTGATGCCGTCAGGAAGGTTTCTTCCGTTGCTCCCTCTTTTCCTGCTGAAAGTCTAAACCTGTGGCTCTCTCCTTTCCCAGCTGGTAGGAGCTTATCAACCAGTGCACTCAGGGCCTGGAGCGGCAGCCTTTTCAGCCCTGTCCTCTCCACCCTCCCTTGCTGTATGTTTGTACAGCATGCCCTAAATTCTCTAGATCTGCCCTGCACCTTAGCTCTCCTACCATAAACAGGGATCATGTCATTGCCCTGCCATTCAGGGGTAGCACAAGCATCTCATTAGTGAATGACTATGAGACACTCAGGTACTGGGCTGAAGAGCACTGTGCACCTGCCAGGAGGGGCTGATCCCTCTAGAGCTGTCCAGTATCTCTGTCTGGGCTTGCAAAGTATTTCAGGATGATTAAATCTGTATACACACAGGGACATAGGTAACGTAAGTAACACCAAGAGATTTCTGCATCTGCTCAGAGATGAATGCCTGTTTATTTTACGTGGAGTCTCTCACACAGCTGGTAACCAAAGCACTTTGCAAAGTGAAATAGGCTGAGACTGGAGGTAGGAAGTGGTGCCTGTTTGAGGGAAAAAAAAAAAAGAGAGAGAGAGAGAGGGAGAGAATAACTTGATTGTCTGGAGATTTGTTACGTGAAGGCAATTCATCATTTTGTCATGAACACAGGGAATGCAAATGCAATGGTGATGCAGATGAACCCCTAGCAAAGAGAAAAGCTGTTGGCCATGCTTCTCTTGCGCTAACCTCGCCTGCCTCAGTGAGCCTGTGGATTCTGCACTGTGCAGTGCCCACTTCTCGCACCAATAGACAGAAATGGGGAAGGAAGCCCTTGTGTCCTGCTGGGGTAGGGAGCTGAATGAGGCAGGTACTGTACAGCTCTGTCTCCTTCCTGCATGGCTTAGCAGTAATAAGGAAAGTTGTCTCCTGCGCAGATTCTGCCTCTCAGTTAAGGCGCTGGGTCTCCTGCAGATACTGCACACATGCATCTCTACACATGCACTTTACTGTTGAGTTGACTTATTTGCTCTGCAGTAAAGCGTCACCATCTACACCTGCACCCATATTAGGGTGCAGTAAATTAATTAACTCCACTTATCTGAGACGAGTCCAATCCTACGGCAGAGTCATTAAGTGTCCCAAAATGCATGTGTAGACAGTGACCATGACTGACTTGGGCATGAGGATGCCTCAGTATGGGGGCTGCCTGCCAGCCAACCCCTCGCAGTAGCACCCTCGTGCCCCAGCCAGCCCCTCTGCCACCTGATGCCCCCACCCAGGGCCTGGGGCTGACCCCTGCCAGCCCAAGGCTGCTTTGCTCCAGCTCAATGTGCTGTGGTCCCAGGCACATGTGTAAACACTGTGCTCAGGACAAATAAACTCCAGCATGAACTGCACCAGAGTTTACTACTCTGCACTAATTGCACGTGGAGATGCACCCATTATGGAATGAAATTTTCCAAGAAAAGAGAGCTGCATGCATAAGGCTGGTTACAATTTAGACCGGATGGGCATAGTGCTTGGATAATACTTCCTAGACAGCAGGTTGGACAGGGGCCTGCCATGAGTCAGAGAATCTGTTGTCTTGTCTGAGAGTGGAGACCCTTTCAGAGCGTGGAAGTCATTCGCCAGCACCTGCTGGTGGTAATGGAAGCACATCACTAGCAATAAGTGACCCAGTGCCCAAAATTCCTATCTGAAAACTGTAATGGCAGAGATGCACCAGGGAGAGACCTGAGTGGGAGGTTCTGTACAGAAACTGGCTCTCTAGCTTAATTTGTCAGGAATTTGGACAACTGTCAAGAACGTGCCCTATGCTCCACATGGAAAAGGAATGTACCCACATCACAGGAATAGGATGGAGCTGGACTGTTCTCAGTGAAGCCAGATGACAGAACAAGGAGCAATGGGTTCACGTTGCAGCAAGGGAGGTTTAGGGTGAATGTCAGGAATAACTCTCTCACTTGGGGGGTGGTGAAGCATGGGAATGGGTTACCTACAGAGGTGAAATCTCCATCCTTGGAGGTTGTGAAGGCCTGGCTGGACAAAGCCTTGGCTGGGATGATCTAGTTGGGGAGGTTCCTGCTTTAAGCAGGGGTTTGGACAAGATGACCTCCTGAGGTCCCTTCCAACCCTCATTTTCTATGATTCTGTGAATAATAGGGGTAACGGAGGAGTTAAAGAACCTTACTCCCAGAATCTATTACCTGTTGCCTCCATGAAACAGTAGCTGGTTTTATTTTCCATTTTGGGAAATGCACACAGAGGAGTTTTTAACCTTCGCTCTGACTGATTGTAGCAGCCTGTCTCGGAAGAATGAGGAATTTGATGCAACGGTTACAATAGTAGGACACGGGGGGCTATATCTAAGCTGCATCTTCAACCAGTCTCAAGCCGTAATAGACCTTGTTCACTGCTTTTGGCGCGTGATAGAAACCCCCACGAGCTCCAGGCTAAAAGGGGCTGTGGTCCTACTGAACCGAGGGCTCCAGCCTGGACTTTTCACTCATTCCCTGCTAGCTTCAAAGGAGCTACTTCTGACTGACAGTTGCATAAAGAAATCAAGCCCCTTGCTGAATACAGTAGCAGAGAGAGGCAGCAGCCGGTAGAGGGGGCGCGAGGGTTGGCAGTAGGGATCTCATTAAGTTCAGCAGGCAGAAATGAGCATAGTTGGAATACAGAGCCCCAAAGGACGAGAGAGCAGCCTGAATCTTCTGTGCTCCCGCACATCCAAACCCCTGTAGGAATCAATACGGTTCCAGATACCACGAGCCAAGCCTATCTGTGCTTCCACCTGGACCCTGCTCTGCACTAGGTCAGTACAGAAGCCTGTCTTTCTGTTGTCTGCAGATTAAATGGGCTTGCAAGCAGTTTTTTTTTCTTGTTCTTTTAAATGTAACCCCGCTGTATGTGTACTGCACAGGAACAGTGCCCAGGCAGGAACGAGTCCATCGTCAGATGCTGCTGGGCTGCAACCATGGCTTTGCACTTGACTCAGGGTGCGTCTGTTGTAAAAGTGCCCTTGGTGCATGGGAAGTGCGGGAAGAGGGGTGAGCCTGTTGGTTATTTAGAAGGAAGCAAGGACTGCTATACCAATAGTTCAAGGAACAATTTTACATTCACAGCGCTTAGCCAGCCAGCTCCTCCCCAAAGCTCCCATTTGGAGACTTATCCAGGAGCAGAAGGATAAGCCTTGTGAAGGTATCTGTAATGTAAAATGCATTACTTCTCTGCAGGTTCAAAAAACAAAATATACTTTAAGCCATGTATTATTGATGGCAACTTCATTCAGGGAAAGCTTCATCTGTTTCAAAGTGCTCCTCTCCTGAACTGTTGAATACAGATGAAACCAAGAGGAATCAGTAGCAATTAATCTAAATCTCGGTGCTACGACAAGCTTTCTGTAGGTGCTTTGAGTTATCCTGTCAGACTCTAGGGCAAAGACAGCATTCTCTGTTCAGTTCTATTGGGTGCTTCCAAAGTCTATTTAAAAAATACTGTTTGCTATTTTGTTGCTTTAGACAAGACTTTCCATAGAGACTTACAGAGTACCACAATACCTGCCATGCAGAGAAATTAAGACGGCCGGGCAAGGGAGAGATAGGGTACTTTATTTAGAAGCTCACGGATGGTCTGCGACTGAAGGCTGGGAGGTGGATGCTAGCTAAGCTTCGAGTGAAGTGTATTTGAAGGTGCTTTATGGAGGAAAAACATCCTGCAGAAAACTGCTGAGCCTGGGATGCACTTGTGTGCCGTCAGTCTGAATAGCAGTAGGCATCCAGTAATTGCCTCTGACCTATGGCGACACGGGCAGTCTCTAGAAAAGAGTTGCTTGTGCTCTCCAGTAACAGGCCCAGTTCTCAGGGCACAAACTCTATGGGGATCAGTGCTCTTTCCAGGTGGCAAAATGCTAGGCGTTTCCTGGACGAGACCCCTAGAGCAGTGAATCCCAACCACAGTGCCATGCCGACATCCTAGGGTGCCCTGAGTTCCTTTCAGGGGTGTCACAGCCTGCCGTGTAGTTTTAGCACTGTGCAGACACGGGGCACAAAATGAACGCAGTAGATTCAAAGACAATCCACGGTGTTGAAACATTCTGAGCTGTTGTGGTCTTTCTGAGTTCTTGACAAGAGAAGAAATTGCTCTAGTATTTTCCTATAACCCCCAAATCACCTGAAAATGAAAAGCTGACGTTTTTCAAGGGGTGCCTTGAATCTACCAGGGTCTGCCTGGAGTCTAAAAAGTGTCCTAGAGAGATACAAATACTGGGAGTGACACACAGGGTTTTGTATTTCAAAACTAATTGAACCCTGTGTCCATCAACTTAGACCCCTCCCTCCAGCACAGCGGACTAACTGTTGGTCCTGTTGGAAGTAAAGAGGTTTTTACCATTGAACTCACAGGACCAAGCTGCGGTATTTTTTGTGAATTGCCCGAGTTGAGTGAAAAGGAAAGGCTGCCTAGTGCCTAGGGCCACTTGATTTCTTTTGCAAAAAGAGGCTGATCATTTGGGTTAGGAAAGGGGATTAGCAAAGTACTGGAGCACAGGCTTTTTAGTCAAAAGCTGAAAGTAGCATCATTTTTGGTGTTGCTGGTTTTTTTCCCTCCGTAAGCACCAGAAAATATTTGTTTTGGTTCAGCTACTATTTCCCTCCTCTTTCTCTTTCAAGATGATGTTCACATTCCCATCAGCTGGATGCTTAGTGAAGGTGAAAGTGCCATGCAATGCTTAGTCTAGAAGGGACATTGCTAAAATAATAACGCTGCAGTTTTAAACAGATGTTTTTGCCCGTGTTACTAACAGCTGCTTAAATTAGGCATAAGAGAATTTTCAAAATGAAAATGTTGCTGTGTCTCTGGTTAGTTTGCTTTCTTCGACCTATACTTGAGAGTAAGATTAGCATTGTAGTAAGATTCACAGTCTGTTTCTAATGGGTTTCATCTGCTAGCTCTCACGTATTAACAAGGGGCTGCAGTTTTTTTCACTGCAGGGAAACATTTACATTCTTACTGGGTCATTTATTTATAGCCAGAATATGTTCCTCCGTGTGAAATTCTGTAAAACTCTTGTACTAATCTTTTTACTGATTTGTACATTTGGGAATGTAGCTACCTCTCCTCGGCAGTCCCCAAATTCTCCTGTTGTCAGAGCAGGACTCTACTTGTGCTACCTCTTATTTCCCATCCCTTTTTCCAGGAACCTGTACAGCAAAACTGTTCCAGTTCAGCAGGAAAAATGAAATGGAGAAAGCAATTCTAAGGAAGCCTGGCTTAAAAGGAGGCTAAAGGATTGGGCCTGAGGTATATGGAAACCATCTCAGTATGAAGGCCCGTGGGAGCTGAAGCACACGCAAGAAATGAAAAAATGATATACCAAGAAGACATGTCTATTTAATCTCAAGGTATGACCCATGAAGTGTAGAACAGAGTTGCATCGGTAGGATTATACCCAAATAAACATTCACGTACACAAGTACTTCTGGAAAATCTTTGCAAAGCTGAGACACTGAATCAGAGTAACAGGTCACAGTTTTACAGGGACTTTTTTACCTGGTGAGGACTGTCAATTCATCCAAAATAGGTGCCCACAGAAGGCTTGATCAGAAATGGTATGCACACACACTACTGTTTCAGAACAGCAAATGTATGAAATCATGATCTTGATCTCGTAATTAGGGTCACTAGTGCTAACCCGTCTGCTCTTCTCTAAGCTTGATTCCTAGTTGACTGTGACTCATGGAACCCATCAAAAATTGGGACAGCGTCCCAGGCAATGACAGCATCTATGAAATCATCCTCAAGAACAGCTCCAATTCCAGCTCCCAGTTTACAGGTGTCCAGCTCATCCAGTCCTTCAAACCCCTCATCATCCCATGCTACACCCTAGTGGTACTGATTGGCATCTTTGGCAACTATCTTCTCCTTTATGTCATCTGCAAGACCAAGAAGATGCACAATGTCACCAACTTCTTCATCGGGAACCTGGCTTTCTCAGACATGCTGATGTGTGCTACATGCGTCCCTTTTACCCTGGCCTACGCCTTCAACCCGCAAGGCTGGATCTTCGGGAAGTTTCTTTGTTACTTTGTGTTCCTGATGCAGCCCATGACTGTCTACGTGTCCGTCTTCACGCTCACTGCCATTGCCGTAGATAGGTAAGTACAGCTTCTAGCCAGCGTCTTTCTCTTGTGTGATGCGGGATGGAGGGTTTGTTTAGAAATGAATTGGCCTCACAATTGTAAACATTAATTCCTGAAATTGCTGCTATCGCTGTCTGTGATTTTGCTCTGACCCATTTTCTAGCCTCAGGATTTAGCTTTTCAGGAGAGGGCTGTTTACAGCAGTGGGTTTTTTTCCCCTTTTCCCTACATTGCATAGTGTATATTGAAGTATACTGTTTGGATTTTGGCACTGACATGGGAGCAAGGGGCACATGTCTGTCTGTGCATCATTTTCTCCAGTGCTGTGAGGGCAACTATGTAGAGTGCAAGGGGCTGTTTGTAAAGCGCTTTGTTTTACTCTGTGAAGGAGCATGCTAGAGCAGCATTACTAGCACTGCACCACAGCTCTCTCTGTTCACTCCCTCCCTCCTCCTTTTATCCCCCTTCCAGTCCCCTGAGCTGCATCCCCTTCCTAGAGCCTGCTCTTGGTCAGCTTGGCTCGGGTATCCTCAGTCTTACATCCCCTCTCCGCAGCATTCCCAAGTGAGATCACACAGAGGCCGAGCACGCTCTTGTAACTCCATCTCTGCCCACATGATGACAAGCCCAGGAGGGCCAATTATTGCAGAAGCATTTCCAGTGATGTGGTTTCTAAGACAGAGCGTGTTTGAAGTTGTTTAAAGAGGCAGCTGGAAGTAGAAATTCTGCCTTGTGGTTTCTCCCCTGCTGCCTTTAATAGACAGTTCTGTGCTAGCTAACTTTCAGCCGCCTCAGGAGAATCCCAGGAGAGCACAGGCTCATCTGCTTGTGGGAAGCAGCAGCAGCCCCATGGCTTGGCTTACCAAAAGCACTACCCAGGGCACGCAGGAGGCACTCCTGCCCTAGCTTGGGAAGCATGGCAAGCTCCTGTCAGCCTACATGAAGCATGCTGTGAGGTGCTGATGACTTCTTGCCCCTCAGATATCCTAGATGAGATATAATCAGTGGATAGTGGCTGGGTCATTGTGGCAGGCCCGTAGTGGGCGCTCCTGCATCGAGCCATCCACCTCACTGTGTTTGGCCACCTTCCAGGCTCCGAGTGCCTCCCTAGGGGTGCCTCACATCTGGCCAACTCCCTTCCTGGAGTACACCTGAAAGCCTGGTGGTAACGTTGCCATCACCCAGGGTCTGCCTCTTGGAAAATACAGACCTAGTCATCCTTGAGGGGTATCTGAACCACTGCAAGAACTTGGGGTGCTTCCCTCAGTCTGAAGCACCAATAGCGGTCTCCCTTAGTCAGCTGAACCAAGGGGACCCCGAAGGCATAATTTAGACCCTCTCCCAATAAGTCTCCCATGCTAGGTAGGTACAGAGGAGAACTTTATTGGTTATAAGGAGTAGCTTTGGAATAGGGTACAGGGTAGAGCAATATCAGAGAAATACCTTAGCGCAAACAGTGGCACGGTAGCCTTTGATCACACAGCTGAGTTACTGCAAGCTATATATCTACAGGCAGTCCTCAGACTTATGACACAATTGGTTGCTGAAAACCACATCTTAAGTTGAAACGTTGTAACTCGGAACCAATTTTCTCATAAGAAACAATGTTATAAATGGGGGATTGGTTCCTGAACCAAGGCCCGATACTGTATTTTCACCAAAAATACCCCAGAATTTTGTACTCGATCAATTATAGATGAGTAATATAGCTACATTAATATATTTATATTGTTAATAGCAATCATATTGATTTGGAAGGACTTCTTTGAGGTGACTTTGGACTTTTTGAAGGGCCCTTGGTTGGACTTTTTGAAGGGTTCTTGGCTGGAGTCTTCTCAGGAGTCTTGGCTACAGGTTTGTCTGGAGTCTTGTCTGCTTTCTTAAAGAAAGTGTCCAAGGAAGTTTGGACAGATGTTCTCCAGGGAGGTGAGTGACGCAGCA